GGGGGGTTTGACTCGGCCCAGACTCGAAGAAAGAGAGTCTGTAAGCCCAATAGGAAAGGATTAGTTTTATTTTTTAGCAGTTGTGACAGTGAAAGAAAGAGAGATTCTTCTGACAAGAGGCGTGGCTGGCAGGAGCTGAGCAGGAGGGGGTGTTGTGTCCCCTAACGTGAGGTGAGCTTGTTGGGGCTGAGGAGGAGACAGACTCCTGCAGCTTGTGGAGCAGGTCTTGTCCAAGGAGGGTAAAAGGGCACTCTGGGACCACAAGAAATGAGTGAGTTACTCTTTTCTGTCCTAAACTCACTTCTCCTGAGTGTGTGACAGGATATTCCTGAATAGCTCCAGGAGCCCCTTACACAGCCACTCTTTCATTAGAGACATTGCCTAAGGGTGTCTGCAGTACCGAGTGCTCTGCCCCAGTATCTATTAGGAAGTGTACAGGCTGGACCCCCACTGTAGCGGTCACCATGGGCTCCCGGGGGCCAAGAGGGAGGGAGCCCCGGTCCCATCAGTCATCAGACTCCTCCGCTGCAGGGAGGGTGAGGACTTCCTTCTCTTCTGGTTTTTCCTCTGGCTTTAATGCGCATTCCTTCTTCCAGTGCCCAGTCTGCGTGCAATTAGCACACTGGTTTTTCTCCGGGGGAGCCCGTTCACCGTTCCTGCCTTTCTGGCAGTGACCCAGGGTTCCCTGGCCATTCCTCTGTGGTGGGGGCCTTCCCTTCCTGGCTTCCTGGATGGCTGCCGCCAAGATTTTCGCTTGTCTTTTGGATGCCTTATCAGCGGCCTTTTCGGCTGCCTGAGCTGCCTGTTTTTGCTGTTTAAACTCTTGATTGTCAAAAACTTTCTGGGCTATTTCTAAAAGCTGACTGATGTTCATCCTAGCAAATCGCTCTAGCTTTTGTAATTTTCTTTTAATATTTGGGGCTGCCTGAGCCACAAATGCCAAATTAAGAGCACAGCTATTTTCGGGTGCCACCAGGGCAACAGGGGTGTAAGTCCAATAGGCCTCCTGGAGGCATTCTAAAAACGCTCCTGGTGACTCATCAGGCCCCTGGACAACTTCAGTCGTCTTAGACAAATTTATGGGTTTTAGAGCGGCTGCCTTGATACCCACAAGGAGATACCGGTGAAAATCATCTAAAGCTCTCTTCCCACCTGAAGAATCTGGGTCTTAATTAGGCCAGATAGCGAGAAAAACCTCCTCAAGGAGGTCTCTGGCTTCCTCTTCTGGCCTGTCAGCTGATGCGAGGGAATGCTTTCGGGCCTCTCCTCACAGGTGAAAAGGGTTAAAAGGAGCTGCTGACAATCATCCCAGCTGGGCTGATGGGTCCGGAGCATGGACTCCATCAGTGAGGTCAAGACCTGGGGCTTTTCAGAAAAGGGGGGATGATGAGCTTTCCAGTTGTACAGGTCAGAAGTAGAAAAGGGGACGTAAACCAAGAACGGAGTTGAGCACTCACCTGGAGGGATCTGTGCCTCTCTCAGCGGGAGGAGGGGGGCTACCTCCTCCTGCCATGGCCGCAATTGGGAGGCAATAAGCAGGAAGCCCACAGGGGACGTAGTTGAGGAGACAAGGGAAGATTCTAAGGGAGCAGGAGGGTTACGAGGTGGCGAAACTGGGTGAGGGAGACGTTCCTCTTCTTCAGAAGGAGGCAATACAGGAAGAGACGAGCTGGCTGAGGGTCGAAGAGAAAGTGGGGTCTGGCTCAAAAGGACCTTGGAGGTAGAATTATGAATGGTGCGTGAGCGGAGCCATGGAGGAAGGCTCCAGACCAAACTCAGCCATCGATCAACGTAGGGAAACTGATCGGGGTGACTGGGAGTTCCAGCAACAACCCACCACACAGCCTGAACAACTGCGAGGTTCAGTGACCTTTCTGGGGGTCACCTGGCTCCACACTGTGGCCATTCTACTTCACAGTGTCCGGAGTTTGCGTTTTTAAAGGCAGACCCCATAATCCTCTGAGAAGCCCAGAGAGAAATTTGGTAACATATATTGGAGAGGGCTCCAATCTTTATCGGGCTGGGAAGAAGAGTTTCCCATTCTGGAGGCAAATTAACAAGGTTTAAGCAAAGATATTAAACCCAGCACGGACAGAGAAATTCACAAACTGGCAGGGCAGGGGGGCTGCAGTATCAGAAGAACAGAAACAACATAACCAGGAGTAGGAGAACAACCATAGCTAACACTTCTTGCCACATAAGGTTCATCATCTTAAGCTCTGAGATTTAGGGAGAGGACAAGAGGCGCGTCCAAGGCCAGTGGAACCTATGTGACTTCCCTCTCCCCTTTGACTTATAGCCTAAAAATCTTCGGTGTTTCCACAACTTGAAGGCAAAAAGTTCAAACTTGGCCCTTTCTTTCAAGGGTTTAAGAAGGGAGAGTAGAGCCAAGTCTTGGGGGCACTAGACTTGCTGTGACACAGGAAAACAAGATGTGTGGGGTAAGGGATGGGGATAAGGAGGAAAGGGGCCACTCAGATCTTTCCTAAGGTAGGAGAGTAGCCACAGAGGAACAGAGTAAGAGTCCAGGCAGAGTAAAGCAGTACGGGCGTAGGTTTCTCTGCACAGTTCCTTATCCAGGGGCACAGGAAAAGTTACCGGATGATACAAAAGATGAGCAAGGAAGTCTGCAGGGCGGCTATTCTCAATTCACCGCTGGTCTAATGTGGAGGTGGCCCAGTCACTTGGGCGTGGAGTGTGGCAATCTAGACGCCACCAACCTTTATGGCGCTGGAAATCCTAAACACGCGAATGTTTCCCACACTGTTTCCCGTACCACCACCAGATTTGTTTCTCAGAAAACGCAGGACTGTGATGGCCAGCCCAAACCACTCATGAGAAATTGGACCTCCTGTGATAGAAAATCAGTACTGAGGACCTTGAAGTTCTTACCCAGTCGTCTAGGGCAGTATCGATGAACTGACATACGGAATTTAAACAGACACCAAACAAGACAACAGACCTCAGGGCATATAAACAATTATGACAACGTTTTTTTTATAGACAAAGGGAGGGGGTCCTGTGATGGGAGCAGCAGCCTGCCTGGCCGCTCCCACTGAGGGTACTTAGGCTCCTCTTAGCATTGGCAGGCCGGTACAAACCCCCAGCTCATCTGGAGCTATGCCTGATGCTGCCCTAAGCCTTATGAGGTCGCCACGGAATTGCAGGTGAGGGCCCATTCGACCTCCATAGCTGTAGCCGTGGAGCTACAAACTGGAAATTCAAGCGCAAGCCCTTGAACTCCCCAGTCACACACTCACTCACACACAGAGTCCTCAGTTTTATTTATTTATTCCCGTTCTAAAACAGAGATCTCCGGGAGGCCTGAACGAGAGAACACAAAACAGAGAGAGAGAGAGAGAGAGAGAAACTAGTCTTAATGGAGAGGCTGGCCTGTCAGAAACCAGGACTCAGTCCTCCAGCATCCTGGAATATGGTCTGAGTCAAGGGAGGACCCTCGTCAGGGCCGCTTCCCTCGCAGAGACACACAGAGGCGCCTAACAGAAAACCAGGACTCTGTCCTCCAGTGTCCTGGAATGCGGGCAGAGCTAAAAAGGGAGGGCCCTTTTCAGAGCCACTTCCCTCCCAGAGAAAGAGAGTCAGATCTGACTTACCTTTCTGGGACCAGAAACAGAGGACTCAGGAGTTGAATTTTTTGTGGGCACACACTGGTGGTCGATCCGTCCTCCTCCGGAAGACGGTCACCTGTGGGGCCCTGAAACTTCTTCAGGTGGCGCCTCCCCTGTAAGCCCGTCATCCGTCTGGGGGAGCCCAGAGTCAGCCCGGCCCTCACCCGGTGGCGAGTATCTTGCTGGGGACTCCAAATGTAACCAAGCAAGTTACAGAGAAACGCCACACTTTGAGAGGAACTCAGGAGTCCTTTATTAGCCGGCGACCCAGAGACAGCTGGTGCTCAAAATTCTCTCGACCCCAGAGGAGGAGCTAGATTTTCTTTTATACTTTGGTTTAGAGAGGGGAGGGGGAGCCTATCTGCAGCAATCGTACAGAAGTAAAACAGGCAAAAAAAAAAGTTAAAAAGACAAATGGTTACAGGAAAACAGTTCCAGGTGCAGGGGCTTTAAATTCATCACAAGGTGACAGGTGTGGGGGCTCTGGGTGTTTTCTGCTGGACACAAACGCCACGGGGGCTTTAGGGTACTATCACCTGGGCGAATTCCTGGGCAATGCGGACACAGCTTGCCACAGCACTTTATCAGTTAATTGCACTCTTTGATATGCTGAGAGTCAGCTTGCACAAGTTAAGTCCTTGAGGAAGCGGGTGGGTGAGGAGCCCTTGATGTCTTGTAAATGAAGGAGCCAATGGAGTCCATCTGGCTTTCTCAGTTAAGGGAGAGTCTATTCATGTTAAAACAAGGTTAGGTATCTAAGGGAGAGTCTATTCACATTAAAACAAGGTACAGTATCACGCCTGCTTTGGGGCAAGGCAGCGCTCAAAACACGACACTCAGGAGTGTCAGTCTACGTGAGAGTGACGTGTCGGGTTGTAAATCCTTCCACCGCAAAAGTGCTCTTCCTCTAGCATCTCCATGAGGACTGAATGATGGTGAGACACACAAAGGAAGAGACCTCAGCCAGACACCACTTCCACATGCCACTCCTCTTGAACAGGCAGGCATCTCCCTGTTTCAGCGAGTGGGCCCTGCACCCTCCACCCTGCCACATGCACACCAGAGGCTCATGCCAGCTACCAACAGCAGGGCCCGGGACCAAGAGGCTCTGGGCAGAGGTGGCTGAGATTCAACTAAACCCAGATTACAGTTACACATGATAGCTTCAAGCTGAAGACAACAAGATATCCATCAAAAATTCATTATCGCCCCACTGGCAGAATGAGCTATATGCAGCTTCTCCAAGCCCTGGTGGGGGAAGGAAGAGGGGAGGGGCAAGATGGGAAGGGAAGGATGAGGATACACAATGACACACAGAAGGCCCAGCCAAGGCAGAGGCTGGGCAGCTCTGTCTGCATCTCTCCAACCGACCTGGGAATTTGGAGAAATACGCCTTCCTGTACTTGTTGCCGTTCTCATTGTTCCAGAAGTGTGTGAGTTAGCAAGGGATCGGCTTAGTACATAGCAGCTCGCTGCTGTCTCCCCAAACCCTTTCCTAGTATGGGAGAATTAAAAATAAGCCCAACACACACCACAGCCACACACCCTGGCTATCTCTCTTAAGCTATTACTTATTATGCAATATTCCAGACATATACAAGGGTACAGAGATGGTCCACGCCCACACACCTGTCATGGCAGCCTGATAATGTGTTTCTCCCAGATGAAGTTGCCTCCCTGTATGTGCTCCCCAAAATTGCCGTCTTGAACATGGCGATTGGTTATTTCTCTGTGTGTTAACATTTTTGCTCCATCCACACGCATCCCTGAATAGCATGTGTCATCACTCTGCATGCTTCGGAACACACACACGCTGTCCTTCTACGTGTACCGCATCTTCCTAAGCTCACTCAGCATGACGTCTGGGTGGCTCATTTGGGCTACTACGTGTTGCTCTGGTTCATTCCTGTTTACTGCTTCGTCATTCGCCACGTGTGATCACAGAACTTCTGCCCAAAGATGGACATTTCTATTATTCCTAATTTTGTTTTCTGTTACAAATCATGGGGTTACAAACATTCTTGCACAGATCACAAGTCAGTCTTCCAGGAGTGGAATTCCTAGATCACAGGGCACGTATGCACCTTCAGCGTCACTGACTACTCCTGCATTGCTCTGCAGAGCAGCTGCACTGAGCCCTGCTCACCCCTCCTAGCACAGCTGGATTTCTAGCTGCCAGGCCCAGCACAGCGGGAGACTATCCCTTTCATGACCAGGCTCTCAGATGCTCAGAGCTGACCACTGCCTGTGTATCCAGCACCGGTTCAGATTCGGGGCAACGACCACCCTTGCCTGCCATTCCTGAGCACACAGCTCTCCATCTGTCCTCCAGCTCGACCCTGACCTCTCAGGGGCTGGGGACCAGGAGCCCAGTGGGTGTTAAACCAAGCTGCGGGGAAAGGACATCACGCTACAAGTGACAGGGGCCTCCCCTCCGAGGGCTGTTTTGGAGAACCATCACCAAGCAAAGTCACACATCTGAGTGCTCCCAAGCTCCCAACTCACGCCTAATCACAGAAAGAAACAGTTGGCGGAGCCATCACCTTCCTCGTTCCACGCTTCCATGGCCATGCCCAGGTTCTGGGCCTGAATCTCCCATTTATACACAGGAAGAGAAAAATTCTGGCGCACGAAGCAGGAGATGTCGGTGCCTCCTGCAAGCAATGGCAAAATGGGAGTCAAAATTCAGAAACCCAAGACAAACAGCTTTTAAATTAGTAAGCAACAAAGGAGAAAGTGCCAAGAGGACAAGTATCTCCCAGACAAACACTGCAACACCCAGACAGGTGGGGCTTCTTTTCAGGGAGCAGCTGGAGAGGTGATATGGAAATTGGAATAAACCCCCTACATCTGGTGACAGATGTTCTGGCCGAGCCTTCCTGCGAGAGGATGCACTAAGAAAATGACCTCCTGTGGTCACACGGAAACTCAAGATTCAGGATCGCAGAAAATGGAAGCTTTGCCTGTGGTATCTACCCAGCAGACACCGCCTATGCGGACCCATCATGTGGGAAGGCTTGCGCGCCATGGTTTACATGATTTACATGGAAAAACAGAAACGTGGCCAGGCACGGTGGTTCACGCCTATAATCCCAGCACTTTGGGAGGCCGAGGTGGGTGGATTGACTGAACTCAGGAGTTCGAGACCAGCCTGGGCAACATGGTGAAACCCCATCTCTACTAAAAATACAAAAATTACAGGCATGCACCACCACGCCTGGCTACCAACAGCAGGGGCCGGGGCCAAGAGGCTCTGGGTAGAGGTGGCTGAGATGCAACTAAACCCAGATTACAGTTACACATGATAGCTTCAAGCTGAAGACAACAAGATATCCATCAAAAATGCATTATTGCCCCACTGGCAGAATGACCTATGTATGTTATGCACGCCTGTAATCCCAGCTACTCAGGAGGCTGAGGCATGAGAATCGCTTGAACCCAGGAGGCGGAGGTTGCAGTGAGCCAAGATCGTGCCACTGCACTCCAGCCTGGGTGACAGAGATTCTGTCTCAAAAGAAAAAAAGAGAAATGTTCCCAGTTGCAAGGACTGTCTCACACATAAGAGACTATGCTACACGGAAAACACTCCTGTTTCTGGAATGAGCTGGAAATGGGAGTCAGGCTCCATGGGCCACCATGCAGGGGAGCAGTGTGAACTCCCCAACTTAGGTCCACTGCTGACAACAGCCAACAGCTATCCCCTAACCCCAAAGTCTGTGTGGGAAGGGAAAGAGCAGCAAGGTCAATCTGCAAGAGGACAAAGACCCTCACACTACACACACACATGCACACACACATGCATGCACACACCACACATACATCACACACACATGCACACACACGCACACACATCCACACGCATGCACACACCACACATACACCACACATGCACAACCATACACATGCACACATAAACGTACATGCACACATAAACGTGCATGCACACCCCACACACACACGCGCGCACATACATGCACACACATCCACATGCATGCACACACCACACACGCACACACACACGTACACACACATACACACGTGTACCCATGTGCACACACACACCATACACACATCCACACACAAGCACAGCAAGGGCAGGACACGTTGAGGAACAACCACTCACATGTACACACCACACACATCACACACGCATGCACACACCACATACATGCATTCACACACAACACACAAGCAGAGCAAGGGCAGAACACGCTGAGGACAGGGTCACTCCGCTCCCACAGGGAAGAAAGCAAAGAGAGTGCGAGAGGCGGTGGCAAGGAGCACCCCTCCCTAACCCCTGTGCCTGGTGTCTGAACTCTTTTTGTTTTTTGGAAACAGGGCCTCACTCTGTTGCTCAAACAGGAGTGTAGTGGTGTGATCTCAGCTCACTGCAGCTTTTGACCTCCTGGCTGAACCGATCCTCCCACCTCAGCCTCCCAAGTGAGACTACAGGCACACACCATGCCCAGCTAATTTTTTTTTTTTTTTTTTTTTTTGAGACAGAGTTTCACTCTGTTGCCCAGGCTGGAGTGCAGTAGCATAATCTCAGCTCACTGCAACCTCCACCTCCCCGGTTTAAGAGATTCCTGCCTCAGCCTCCCAAGTAGCTGGGATTACAGGCATATGCCACCATGCTCAGCTAATTTTTGGGTTTTTTTTGGTAGAAATGGGGTTTCACCATGTTGACCTGGCTGGTCTTGAACTCCTGACCTCAAGTGATCTGCCTGCGTCAGCCTCCCAAAGTGTTGGGATTACAGGCGTGAGCCACCGTGCCCAGCCACAGGTAATTTTAATAAAAATTAGCCACAGCTAACTTTTTTTCTTTTTTTTTTTTTTTTTTTGGTGAAAACAGGGTTTCCTTATGCTGCTCAGGCTAGTCTTGAACTCCTGGGCTCAAGCAAGTCTCCTGCCTCAGCATCCCAAAATGCTGGGATGACAGTTGTGAGCCACTGTGTCCAGCACATGCTACTCGTTAACTCATATACGTGTAAAAAGTATTTTCATAAAGCAAATGTTTTCCCTCATCAGGCTCTATGTGCATGAATTGGGAGTGTGAGGATGTTCAGATCCACATGAAATGACACGGCTCCAAAAACCAGAAGGGTTGATTTTGGCTTCAACTCTAAGAGATTTTATTTCTTCCTTCAGGCAAAGAATAAAATGTGATGTCTTCTCTGCCATTTCATGTCACTGACGGAAGTGTCCCAAGAAAATGAGTGAGTCACGTTCGTTTCTGCCACCATCAAGGTCTGGGCAGGGCTCCCGACCTCCCTCCTGCTGCTCACCCTGCTGGTAAGAAGAGCTCAGATCCTCCTCCTCAGGCTGAGGAACCAATGGTGGGGAGGAAGCCTGGGGGGTTGGCCTCGGGCTTCGGGCAAACAGCACCTCTTAAAGAGGCGCTCTGAGAGCGTGTTTTTAAATCACAAGGAGAAAAATCACAACTACAAATGTGTAAAAAGAAAATAAAAGTGACCTAGGCCAGGCACGGTGGCTCATGCCTGTAATCCCAGCGCTCTGGAAGGCTGAGGCAGGAGAATCACTTGCGCTCAGGAGTTCAAGAACAGCCTGGGCAACATGGTGAAACCCCATTTTTACAAAAAATAAAAAAAAACATAGCTGAGTGTGGTGGCGTGCACCTGTGGTCCTAGCTACTCAGGAGGCTGAGGCGGGTAGATCACTTGAGCCCAGGAGGTTGAAGCTGCAGTGAGCCATGATCATGTCACTGTGCACTCCAGCCTGGGCAACACAGCAAAACCCTGCCTAAAAAACAAACAAACAGTGACCCAAAGATTTCTATGGGCAGCAATGGAATCAACTGTAAGTCACATTAAGGGGAAGTGAGGTATGTACCCTAAGCTACAGAAAACGGGGGTGCTCTCGTCCCATTTACACACACTCACAAACACTCAAGCACACACACTCACCTATGCACAGAACATCTATGAAGGAAACAACATGGGCTTCCTCGGGGAAGGGGGACGGCAGCAATGAGGATACCTTTGTGGACTCCAAATTTTTTACCACATGCATGAACCATTTTCCAAAGCACAACTTTACATTAAGAAAAAAGTTGTGACCAAAAAATGCACGTGGGGGCCAGGCACAGTGGCTCATGCCTGTAATCCCAGGACTTTGGGAGGCCAAGGTGGGTGGATCACCTGAGGTCAGGAGTTTGAGACCAGTCTGGCCAATACGTGAAACCCTGTCTCTACTTAACAATACAGAAAAATGAGTTGGGCGTGGTGGCACATGCCTGTAATCCCAGCTACTTGGGAGGCTGAGGCAAGAGAATTGCTTGAACCCACGAGGCAGAGGTTGCAGTGAGCTGAGATCGCACCCACTGCACTCCAGCCTAAGCTGGAGTGAGACTCTTTCTCAAAAAAAAAAAAAAAAAAATTTCAGTTTTAATCTACGTATAATACACCCATATATATACATATGAGTGTGCGTGTATACATCCATATATTCCTGTTTTCAACCTACAAAAATGACCATACCTTATAATTCTGCAATCCGATTTTTTCACTCATGACCATGTTTCAATGTCCATCAGTATATTTCTATCTGAACAAATACTTTCCTAATTGCACTTCTAATGGCTACATAAATTAAGAATGCACCCTAAATTATTCAATGAATTTCCTTCTGCTGGGCATACCGATAGTCTATTTTTCCTTACATAAACAATGTTGCAGTATTTGTCCTTCCATACAGTGGCTTCTATTTGCAGATTCTATTTTTGCGAATTTGCCTGCTCACTAAAATGTATGTGTGACCTCCAGGCCTATACTCTGGAGCTTTTGCAGTCACTCTCAGACACTGCAGAGCAGTCAAACCCGAGCCACCCAGGCCGGTTCCCACCGAGGTCACACAAGGAGACATGGGCTCCCTGCCTCCCTCTCACACACAGGAGACCGGGCCAGGGTGGGGCAGGGCGCTCTGTTCCCAGGCTTTGCATCCCAGCTCTGGCACCTGACAGTGGCCTTGGGCAAGTCACTGAACGCTTCTGAACTGCATTTTCTCTTTCACAAGATAAAAAAATAGAACCTACCAAGATGTGTTGTTTTGGATTTAAGACTATAATCGATGTGAGAGGTGTGTGTGTACCAACCTTCTTCGCCCAGAAGCAAGGGTTCCGTCCGTGCTGACTCGGTGTTCACAGTGACTTTGCAGAGCATCACTGCCTCAGATACTGAGAGGGGACTGTGCGTACTGGCCGCCCAGTAGACCGTGCCCTTGGGATGAATCCAAGCACTGGGCAGAGGGTGTGCATACTTACAGGGCCGGCCTGCCTTCCGGAGGCGGGGATGGCTGGGAGGTCTGTCCCCCGCAGAGCCATACCTGAGGTGGAGCCCAGGAGGACGCTGCTCTTGACGCACCTGTAGACACACTCATAGCTTTAGGCTTTCAGCAGGGAGCCGGTGGACAGGATCATGTCTGGAGCACGATCTTCTGCAATCTGATTATTTTACTCATCATCACCACGTTTCAGTGTCCATCACTATATTTCTATCTAAACAAGTACTTTCATCCTTGTACTTCTAATGGCTGGATGTGTCTGGGGCATCTGGAGACTGTGGATTTCCACTGGGGCAAAGAATCACCAAAAGATTAAAACTAAACCCAGCACCTGAAGCCTCACGCACAAGCAGGAAATAGGATGGATTTAATTTCCTTGATTGGCAGTACAGGGAATGAGAATAAAGAGGCACACTCACCGGCTTCGTGGCCTTCTCTTCCAGCGCCGACAGCCACTTCGCCCTGGTTACCAGGATGCTAGGGTGCAGGCGGGAAAGACAACACCAGAAATTCTTCAAGACTCTTGCACTGAAGCTTTCTAAAGTTAGTGATTTATTTCTGACAAGTCTGCAAAACCCTAGAGCGCATTTTTCTGGATTGAACTCATACTTCGTGTTTACTCGAGTCTGAGTCACGGCACCTGCCTTGCTCACAGGCACACCTGACTGTTCTTCACGCTGAGTTCAGTATGCAGGGCCAGTTTCCTTGACCACGAGGCTTCACGTAAAACGGTTGTTCACAAGAACCCATCATTTTCCCAGCTGCAGAGTGTATTTTATCTTGGGGGACCAAAGGAGGCCATAAAATCAAGACCCCTCAAATTCTATCCTCACACATCCATTCACCAATGAAGAGACGGCTACAGAATTATTATTATTACTTTTTGAGACAGGGTCTCCCTGTGGCGCCCCAGGCTGGCGTGCCACGCTGCAGTGACAGCTCGCTGCCGTCTCTAACTCTTGGGCTCAAGTGATCCTCCTGTTTTGGCACCCAAAGTGCTGCGAGAATTCTTTGTTAAAACATGTGCCATCCCAGAAACTCTCTACCCATCCTTTTTTCTTAAACAAGTTCACATTTTTATGAAATGTAGAAAAGTGCAGCTCTTCTTAAACGTTTAGAATCCACAGTTCTATGAACATCTGTGCTCAGAGAATGACACACGCTGCTGAATATACATCACTGCATTTTCAAGGGCAGCCCTGTCTAATATGCTATTTCCTTCCTCAGCTTTTCTTCCAGCCAGGCAGCCCTTCACGTAGAAACTTGATCTTCCCAACTAAAGCAGATTTTTCTCTTCAGGGCACAGAGGAGGCTGGGAGATTGACTCTTCCGTGTCACTCTGGGCAGTAGAACCTCAGTCCCTGCACGTTCAGTGGAGACTCATCCCAGGGAGGGAAGACTGACTGCCATGGCACTTGCTGTCTGAAGCTGTGAGGCAATGTGGCACAGAATGTCCTGGAATTCAGAACTGGCTGGGCATGGCTAAGGCAATGGCAGGGTGGGTCTCCCTCCATGCAAGGAGGCGGATTACCTTGGTCCTTCCATCTCCCACACCTTCGTTCTTTTACTTCCCCAGACCCACCCTGCCACCCACAAAGCCACCACTGTACCCTAGAGATGGCTAGAGTTTCGGGGGAGGGAGACTCGCTCCTCCCACCATCCCCCATGCTTCTTTCACAAACCCAGAGTTTGATTAACTACTTCAACTTCATAGCCAAGGATTAAGGTGTCACTCCCTTTGCAAGTATGAATAACAGAGGATGGAGACCTCGTGACTCTGATGGCAATCACCTGACCCTGGACAGCAGTGACCGCCTCCAGCTACGGGTACAAAGCTCTCCAATCAACAGCCACACCCAAACAACACATAGGTTTTATGTAGCTCATCCCCCCATTGCCCACACCCAGAAAACTCGAAGGCTCTCTGTGGTTCTAAAGCACGTCTAAGTGCAGGCAAGGCTCTGCAAACCCTGATCTTGGTAAGGCTCCGCCAGCACTCGGGAGGTGGCGCTCTCCGGCCTATGAGTCACAGGCCTGCTTGTCTGCAAACGACAAATTCCCCCATCTATCTCCAGGGTGCACCTGAGACAGGAACTGCAACACCATTCAGCTCATGGAAGCATGGGAGCCCACCTGTGGGCGCTCGTGCCACGTCTTATTTCTAGTGAGTACCGTAGGGGTCGCTACACCGAAGCATGAGACAGCGTCAAGGCCCTAAACCATCGGGACCCGGCGCCTGCGACTGCCCGGAGCCCTGGACAGAGCCTGGTGTGGATCAGCCCAGAGGCAGCCCTTCCACGGTCGCCAGAGCACCTGGGGGCTGCACCAACCTGCGTCTCCCAGCTTCCGCCCCTGTCCCTGCCATGCTCTCTCCACTCAGGCGCCACACCACACATGTTTTTAGACGGAGTCTCTCTGTGTCACTCAGGCTGGAGTGCAGTGGCGCGATCTCGGCTCACAGCGACCTCCGCCTCCAGGGTTCAAGTGATCCTCCTGCCTCAGCCTCTCAAGTAGCTGGGATTACAGGCATGTGCCACCACACCCAGCTAACTTTTGTATTTTTAGTTAAGACGGGGTTTCACCATGCTGGCTGGGCTGGCCTTGAACTCTGACCTCAGGTGATCCGCCCACCTCAGCTTCTCAAAGTGCTGGGATTACAGGCATGAGCCACCACGCCTGGTCTACCCTGCCCTTTTAATAACAGGCACCAGATCACAGTGCTCTCCTGATGCGAAGTGTCCACTGCTGTTCCATTCCACTAGGGGAAAGACTCACCCTCCAAGCAGTCCCAAGTGTCCCTGCCCCTCCGACCCCTCTTCCTGCCCCCAGTCCCACATCAGCCCTTTGCACTCAGGCCACAGGAGGCCCCTCCAGCTTCCACAACACATGGATCTCAGGCCCACCTCCGGGCCTTGCTCCTGGTGGTTCCCTCTGCCTGAAGCACATGTCCCCAGTCCTGCAAAAGTAGTTCCTGAACCTTCCGGCCTCAGCCCAAATGCCAAGACCTCTCGAGCAGTCCCTGACCCCAGGTCCCTGACAGCACTCCTCAGAAGCCGAGGTCAGCCTCTCCCTTTTCCTTACCTTCCCCCTCCCACTACCAGCCCCACGAGGACAGACAGTGCTGGCCCCGGGTTGCTGCTGTGTGGCCCCCAGGACCCGGCAGGGAGCTTGGCGCAGAGCACATAGTCCAGCACACACGGGGTGCAGATCCCGGCAGAGTGCTGCCCAACCCACGCACTTCCTTAGAAGGACAAGCCCGTTCGCCCGTGAGGCCCCTGACCTCTAGGACCATCTTAGACAACGGCCCCATTCAGAGACGACAACACCGGGCCATCCAGACAACGTCCACGCCTGTCCCGCTACTAGCAAATCTGGGCAAAGTCCCTGGGGTCCTGGCCCTCATTCTATCCAGAATATTCCCCTCTCTAGAGCCTAAAAACACACCCCTATGAAGAAGAAAATTCATCTTTTAAAATTATCTTGTCCGTCCCTACAAAATAAATGCTCTTTTATCCAATGTGTCAGTAAGGCTGGGAGCTGACATGCCGGTAATCAATAGACATCTCACCCCACATTTACTAACAGACATGGGATTTAATCAAAGGCACTGAGACAGCTTCATGAGGACTGTGCCCGCCCTGTGCTCCTCTTGTCACAAAACAGGATTTGCCACGACTGCTTTCAACTGTTTCACAGCATTCAGTTTCCAGGAGGTGGACAGAACTGAGCTGAAGCATCCTGCCACGCCCAGCACCCGTGGCGCCCAGGGCAGTGGCTTGAAGCCTGCATCCTTCTGACAGCCCCTCGCCCGCAACCCCTGCCTGGGTGCCGAGTCACACCTGCCTCGCCAAACTGCACAGGAGGCTCTCCCAGGCAGGACAAAGGCCACATGCAGAGGGAGCCCTGCGACAGCATGACCACACCTCAGCCAGCCTCGGTGCTCTGGCCAACCCAGGGCCCCTGATGACGGCATGGAACCAGCCACTGTGCTGTGAACACTCACACATGTATGTGTGCATACAGGCACACGCACACATATGCAAGGCACACATGCATCCACATGCACAGCAAACATTCACAGCTGCATGCACACACACACACCTGACACCTATACACACAGACACCATGCACACATTCATGCACTCACCTGCACTCACACAAATGTGCACGTACACATATGCACTCACTCTGTTTCGCATTATCACACTCCATGCACACACATACACTTTCACATACACTTGTGCACACATGCAGGCTCACACCCATGCACACACACAGCAGGGTCTCCCTGGGACTCTTCATCCTTGGATCTCATTAGCACCAGGCCCCACTGATGTACACTTCCCTCTCCATCCCTTCTCCAGTAATCCCCGACCCAGTGCATGCCTTCCACACACACCAAAAAAAGTTCCTCCCCCTGCAGCCTGGCTTAAGGGTAAAAGGGTAAAGATTCTAAAGCAATTTCAAGTTTCCGGGGATTTGATTAACCTTTTGCTGGAAACAATCTCATTAGGAAATAGCCTTCCTCACTAAGATTGTGAGCCAAATGTCAGGATTTCAATTTTACCCAGGCCAGGTCAAGTTATATTTAAAATGTTAATGGCCAAGGATTTAAAAACATGAGTGGCTCCTGTTCGCCCCATGAACAGAGTCAGATGTAGAGTAATGAGGACGTTTCAGAGCACAGTTATTTCTGGGCCCCTGGAGCTCTGTGACTTCTGCATTTTCTTTTTTTTTTTTGAGACAGAGTCTTGCTCTGTCACCCAGGCTGGAGTGCAGTGGCGCAATCTCGGCTCACTGCAAGCTCCGCTTCCCAGGTTCACGCCATTCTCCTGCCTCACCCTCCCAAGTAGCTGGGACTACAGGCACGTGCCACCACATCTGGCCTTTTTTTTTTTGTATTTTTAGTAGAGACGGGGTTTCACTGTGTTAGCCAGGATGGTCTCGATCTCCTGACCTCGTGATCCGCCCAGCTCAGCCTCCCAAAGTGCTGGGATTACAGGCATAAGCCATCACGCCCAGCTGACTTCTGATTCTTATCTCTGGAAACACTGTCATTAGGCCAAGGGTGACCAAGACCATAGTGGCCAGAACATGCCAGCCGGTTGTGATTAATTCATCAGCAAAGTACTGACGAGACCGGAACTGCTGATGCCTTCTAACAATGCTGATGATAAGGGATGGGGGCAGGGACCACCGTACCCATCCCCATTTGGATATTTCTCAGACACTGGGAGGGCACCTAACGTGTCTCTCCTAACTGGCTCCCGCCTCTGCTTATGGGATTTCCATCTACCATCCAGCCAGGGCCACAGGAAAGAAGTGACCACCTCCAGGGGCCCCAGGAAGCACTCAGTGTAGTTATGATGAGGTGAGGAGAACCCTAGAAGACAGGTGGCTGCCAGTCCCAAGGGACAGCTAGGGACAAGCAGAGCTCTCCTCCTGCCAATGGGCTCAGGAGAAAGGTGGCAGGAAATCCAAATGCCACACAGCCCCCCAGTCACAGGTTCTGCACCCACCCCTCATGAACTTATCCACACATCTCCCCTGTGCGTTCAGCCTTCACCTCACTTCATCTCTGACATGGTTTGGCTGTCCCCACCCAAATCTCATCTGGAACTGCAGCTCCCATAATCCTGTGTGTCGTAGGAGGTCACTGAATCCTGGGAGCAGGTTTTTCCCATGCTGTTCTCTCGATAGTGAGTAAGTCACACGAGACCTGATGGTTTTATAAAGGACAGTTCTCCTGCACATGCTCTCATCCCTTTGCCCCTCCTTCACCTTCTTCCATGATTGTGAGGCCTCCCCAGACATGTGAAACTGAGTCCATTCAACCTTTTTCTTTATAAATTACCCAGTGTCGGGCGTTTCTTCACAGCAGTATGAAAATGGACAAACACAAGCTCACTCCTGAGTCCGAAGAACGTGTGCTAGACTCTATGTGACCCTCAGTTTCCCTCCTTTTGCTGGGAAATGCCACAACTACAGAAATAAGATTAAAGTGCAGCATGATGGCTGCGGTTGACGACGCCACACTGTGTAAGTGCTGGAACTTTGCTGAGAGTCGATTTCAGGCACTCTCATTGCTAAAAACAAAAAGGTAACTCTGTGAGGAGATGCAAATACGAGTTTACCTGACTGCAGTACTCATTTCACTATGTGCATACACAGCAAAATACCATGTTGTGCACCTTACAATACATACAATTGTTACTAAAAAATAATCTAAAAAATAGAAACAGATTTTTGGAAGAAATGAGATCACACGCTGCCCGTAGGATTTTTCTCAGCCCTCACTCTAGAAGGAAAAGCCTGGCCCTTGGTGTCCCTCCCTCCTTAACAGCTTCACCTTCCACTTCTGGCACCTTCCACATCCTCCTCTTAGAGAGGGGACATCAACAAAAGCAGAGCATTCCGGAGATGCCCTGACCACGGCAGAAGGCAGCCACGGCTCTGCATCGGATCCCAAGGAGCCTTCCTGGTGCTGCCTGTCCCTTGTTCTGGGCACTGCATCTTGGTACCTACCCTATCGTGTCAACCAGGTCCCAGAGCATGTTGGGCATGGGCACCATGGGGGAGCCATCGTACAAGCCCATGGCCGCTCCTGTGGCCAGAATAGACACCATCCAGTTCCACATCATCCAGCCAACCTGCAAAGACAGGAGGGGTGTGGCTTCAGCAGGCGCCAGGCAGCTCTCCCCACAGCCGCCGTTCAGTTTCCTGCGTCCCTACAAAACCACCTAAGATGGAGCCACAGGTTGGTGCTAACTGCCCATTTCAAACTCATGATACTTTGGCCCAGCAACTCCACGTCTAAGAATGGATCACACAGACACACTCATACATGCACAGGAAGATGTGAGCCCAGGGTTTGAGACCAGCCTGGGTAACATGGCAAAACCCTATCTCTACAAAAAATAAAAATAAAAATAACTATAGTGGCACATGCCTATAGTCCCAGCTACGTGGGAGGCTGAGGTGGGAGGACTGCTTAAACCCAGGAGGCGAAGGTTGCAGTGTGCCAAGATCACACCACTTCATCCCAGCCTGGGTGACAGAGCAAGACTCCATCTCAAAATAAATAAATAAAAGGTTAAAAGTCACTAACCCATATGTATAAATTCTATTGCATAGTAGTAACGTATTATTTCAGGTGCTTTAATAAAGTTAGACTTTTGGTGAAATAAGAAAAAATAAAAGCATGTGTCATGGGCTGAACGGTGCACCCCCAAAACTCGTATGTTGAAGCCCTAACCCCATGTATCTCAGAATGTGACTAAACGGGCCTTTAAAAGGTGACTGGATTTAAATGAGGCTGTCAGAGAAGGCCCAGGCCCGATCTGACTGGGGTCCTCAGGAGAAGAAGCTTGGACATACACACAGACACCAAGGGGTGTCACATGAAAGACCGTACGAGGACACAGCAAGAAGGCGGCTGTCCACAAGCCGAGCAGAGAGGCCTCAGATGAGAACAACTGTGCGGCACGTTGGTGCTGAAGCCACACAGCCTGTATTTCGTTACGGCAGCCCCAACACACTCACAGCACAGGCAGGTTCCTTCTCAGTTCATCAGACTCTATAACCTAACCGCGGCTTTCACATTTTTAACCACAACCCACGGTCAGACGTAAGTTTTACAATATGCCCTCAGCATGTGCACACATCCACGTATACTCCGTGTAATGACAGCTTCCCCAAACAACACCCATACCTCTTACGAGCCTACTCTGTGCTAATGTTTTATTTTAGTTCTTTGAGACCGGGTCTGGCCCTGCTGCCAGCTGGAGTGCAGTGGCATGATCTTGGCTCACTGCAACCTCTGCCTCCTGGGTTCAAGCAATCGTCCCACCTCAGCCTCCCAAGTACCTGGGACTACAGGTGTGTGCCACCACATCCAGCTAATTTTTGTATTTTTTAGTAGAAATGGAGTTTTGCCATGTTGGCCAGGTTGGTCTCAAACTCCTGGGCTCAAAGCAATCTGCCCGCCTTGGGCTCCCCAAAGTGATGGGGTAATAGGCGTGAGGCACTGCACTTGGCACTGTGCTAATATTATCTATTCTTGTCTATTCTGACTCATTCTTTTAAAAACACTGGGAGTGCCGACCTATTGAGTTCATAATCCCCCAGGTGGTCCGGACCTGCAGGGTGAATGTAGTTGGTTCAGCCAGCGCACTCCCCACCCCCAAGACACGGTGCACCGTACAGTGATCCCCAAGCCTGTCACCATGGTGGTAAGTGCCATCCCAGCCCGTGGAGTGGCAGCTCTCCACTGACCTGGGCCCAGTGCCGCATCTCTGCACAGCACCCCACTTGGAGAGAAGCTGCACGCCGGACTCTCCAAGGATGGGGTGCAGTTTGACAACCCCAACGCTGCCATCATCAGCTGGGAGGCCCTGTTGGAGCAAACAGACAACGGGAGGCCCCTGCAGGGCTTTCCCCAGAGACCTACCCCAGCGGAATGCACCATGCACTTGGGTGCGCCCGTGGTGCCTGATGAAAACATGATGAACAGTGGGTGGCTGAAGGGCAGCTGCTCGAACTCCAGCTGCGGGGCCTGCTCGCTGGTGCAGGTGGCAAGAAAGTCATTCAGAAACACCGTGGGCCAAAACACAGGGAAACACACCATGAACGTCCCAGAATGCTGGACCGGACCCGCTGGACACGCACTTCCCTCTGCTTCTACCCCAGAAAAGCTAGGACTTCAGGGGGACACTGGCCTGATGTGGAAACTTTCCGGGACCAGGGGAGGAAGTCAGATCTCAGAGATTCAAGCTAATTGAAGGAAAACTCATTGAAGGAAAGAATGTTTCAATTTCCTTAATCAACACCGCTGCCAGGGTCAAGGGCTGTCTTTTAGAGAATCTTTGAAGTGTTTTCATAACCTCCGTGGAGAAGGATTACTTACAATTAATAAGTCGTATGTGTACAAACACTGCTGATGGGGGCTTTGGAAATGGCCTTGAAGTCTTCTGAGCCCATTTTGTTTACTATTGATCATCTGATTAGCAAATGCTTTGTTTTCAATGATTACCCCCCAAAAAAAGCACTTGCCAAGTGCGTCTGAATTAAGATGCTTCCTCCATGGCGAGAAGGGAGAGGAGGTGGTGCTGGGTTAAAGATCCCGTCCTACAGACGTGGGGCCAATTTCCTAAACCACAGCTCAACGACAAAGAACCTCCAGGCAAACATCATGTGTTATCACTAACTTGCTAGATTCTGAGGTTTACAATAGCAAGATACAAATATCTGTCCAAGAACAAATACAATGAATCCCAGCTACTGACTGTCACCCAGGAAGTGTGCCCAGGCTTACCCCCAAAGCTGACCTGCAGCATCGCTATAGGTGGCCGAGAACCACCAAAGGGGCGACACCGAAGGGGCTACAGATTTGTTTTCTGCACTAGAAACAGCTGCAGAAGCCACAAGCCATCTTGGGAAAAGGTGGTTTTCTATTTTGAGATCAGCAGCAACATCCATCTCAAAACACTGGCCCCATACACAATTGACAAATAGAACTTTCTTTCAAGGAAGGCGGTGGGAATCGGTTAAACGCAGGCTGCAGCCATTTGCTAGGGATAATTACTCTGAAACACAAATGCCATACATGCTAAAATGAAGAATTTTGCTGTCTTGCGTGAGAAAGCATCCTTCAGGATAAGGGTTTCTCCTGGGGAAGACACAGTGGTTTAAAAGGGCATCCAAAACAATTCAACTCTAAGCAAGAAACAAACAAAGCCGTCTGCTCCAGCGTGTCAGGAAAAGTACTCGCTGTGGAACCTGACAGCCAATGTAAACCCCTTCCCACCTCCACCCCATGTAAGAATCCCATTACAAAGTGCCCAGTCTAATCGGATACTTCACACGGAGAAAAGACTTTTCCTTCAAACGGTCCATAAATCACAGTACACAACGATTACCTTTGTTGCTCTTTTAAGAATGAATAGCCCACAGGGTGGCTCCGCCCGTCAGTTCTCCGCTGACGGGCACGTTGGTGTTTCTGGTTTATCTGTGGCATCCACCAAGGAAGGATGGACTGCAGGGGAATCCAGTCCCTGAGGTGTCGAGAGGGGCTTCTGCATTGTGTCAGGCGAAATGAAGTGGCTAACGCACTTCTGCTGGATGCCCGCATTTTGTATCAACTGCTGAAGAATATCATTCAGAAAAATCAAAGCCAGGCCACCAGGGGACTGGCAAACCCTGTCTGGTTTCCTCTCCACCTGGACTGCAGCTTCTGGAGGACAGACACAAGCTTTGTACCTCTTGGTGCCCTGAGAACACCCTGACGGACGATAATAAGCCACGCACCAACTACCGCTTGCTGGAATAAAAAGGCCTCCACCATCTCCTCCTCTCTTCCACGTCTGCTCCCCATGGCTGGCAGGAGGACAATCTGCCATGTCTGCGCAGCCCCTCCTCACCAGGCCTTAAGGAACCACGCACGAGGCACCTTCCACCAGCTCAGACTCAAGGCTCAAGGGAAAGCTTACCCTGTGAGGGTAAACACCTGAGCTCAGAACCCTCTCCCCATAGCTGTTTCAAGACAGACTAAAGGATGGTAACTCCAAGAACTTTGGGACAAATCCAACTTTCACTAAACCATAATCCATTTCTGTAATCTCTATTCAAAATTAAGATTCTTGGACCAGGCACAGTAGCTCATGCCTGTAATCCGAGCACACTGGGAGGCCAAGGCAGGTGGATCATGAGGTCAAGAGTTCAAGACCAGCCTGGCCAACATGGTGAAACCCCACCTCTAATAAGAATACAAAATTTAGCCGGGCGTGGTGGCGCATGCCTGTAATCCCAGCTACTCAGGAGGCTGAGGCAGGACAATCGCTTGAACCCTAGAGGTGGAGGTTGCAGTGAGCTGAGATCGCGCCACTGCACTCCAGCCAAGGAAGATGTCATCAGCAATGGGGAACACATGCATGTCCTAAAAGGTGAAAAATAAGGCCATGTGTGGTGGCTCACCCCTGTAATCCCATCATGTTGGGAGGCTGAGACAGGTGGATTACCTGAGGTCAGGAGTTCGAGACCAGCCTAGCCAACATGGTGAAACCCCGTCTCTCCTAAAAATACAAAAATTAGCTAGGCATGGTGGTGGGCACCTGTAATCCCAGCTACTCAGGAGGCTGACGCAGGAGTATCGCTTGAACCCGGGAGGCAGAGGTTGCAGTGAGCCAAGATCGTTCCACTGTACTCCAGCCCTGGCGACAGAGCCAGACTCTAGCTCAAAAAAAAAAGAGATTCTCCTGCCTCAGCCTCCTGAGTAGCTGGGATAACAGGTGCCCACCACCACACCTGGCTAATTTTTATATTTTTAGTAGAGACAGGGTTCCACCATCTTCCCAGGCTGGTCTCAAACTCCTGACCTCATGTGATCTGCCCACCTCAGCCTCTCAAAGTGCTGGGATTATAGGCATGAGCCACCACACCCGGCCTGGTATGTTTAAATGTATTACGCGTACTACAGTGGATCATACAGTGACTGCAGTCTTTACGGGTCTAGCTCTGTTGTATTGTTCATGCTGGCTTCTTTGTTTACACATCTGCTAATGTTTACTTGTTGAAATGTTCTCCCTGGGAGTCCGTGAGCCCTGAGATGAGCATTTATTTCTCTGAACTAGACTTTCATTAGCCTCTGAAAGGCACCTAGAGGAACTATGGATGAAGATCTACTTTATTTTTCAAGGAAAAAATGTAAATATATGCAAAAATAGACTAAATAGTATAACAAACTCCCACGTGCCCATTAACCAGTTTCAACAGTGATTAACTTAAGACCAATATTGTTTCAACAGTAGCCACATGCATGCATCTCTGCCATGTTATTTTGATGTCAAAAAACACGGCCGAGTGCAGTGGCTCACGCCTGTAATCCCAGCACTTTGGGAGGCCGAGGCAGGTGGATCATTCAAGGTCAGGAGTTCGAGACCAGCCTGGCCAACATGGTGAAACCCCGTCTCTACTATAAACACAAAAATTAGACAGGTGTGGTGGCGTACGCCTATAATCCCAGCTACTCGGGAGGCTAAGGCAAGAGAATCGCTTGAGCCTGGGAGGCAGAGGTTGTGGTAAGCTGAGATCACACCACTGCACTCCAGTCTGGGTAACAGAGTGAAAAACTGTCTCAAAAACAAAAACGAAAACAAAAACATACCCCAAACCCCCAGCCATTATACCATTCTAGACATAAATATTTCAGTATATAACTCTAAAAGGAATTTTTAAAACTCATCATGCTATTGTCATGCCTAAACTTTTTGTGACAGAGTTTCGCTCTTTTCACCCAGGCTGGAGTGCAGTGGTGCAATCTCGGCTCACTGCAACCTCTGCCTCCCGGGTTCAAGCAATTCTCCTGCCTCAGCCTTGCGAATAGCTGGGATTACAAGCATGTGTTACCACACCTGGCTGATTTTGTATTTTTAGTAGAGACAAGGTTTCTCCACGTTGGCCAGACTGGTCTCAAACTCCTGACCAAGTGATCCGGATACCTCAGCCCCCCAAAATTCTGGGATTACAGGCGTGAGTCACCGCGCCTGGCCACTTAAAAAATACTGTTTAATATCAAATATCCAGCAAGTTTAACATTTTCCAGTTCTTACATCACATTTTTAAAAGATTATTTGAATCAGAATCCAAACAAGACCTGCATATTACAATCAGGAGACCTGCATATTAAAATCAGGAGGTATGTCTCAAGTATTTGTCGCCTGTAGGTTTCCCCTCTAGCTTTTTTTCCTTCTCAATATATCTGTTGAAAAAAGAAACTGGGTAATTTGCCCTGGTTTTGGCTGATGGTATCCCTGTGCTATCATTTAATATGTTCCTCTATTTCTTGTATTTCCTGGAAATCGGTAGTTACAACTAAAGACTCGATCAGTTTTTGGTTACAATTTTTTTTTCCCAAATATATATTAGGTACTCAATTCCCTCCTAGCTTCTAATGCAGAGACCTGCCCCCCAACCCCACCGTCTGTCTCTCTCTCACACACACACACACACACAACTGCAATTATAAATGACTTTCAACCCATCACAAATCAAATTCCAAGCCAGAACTTTTATTCACTTACTTGTGTATCTAATATTTATTTAGCAGCTATAATTGTTTTAGCAGCGACAGATTGTTCTGGATGCTATGAGTATTACAAAGTAGAGCAGTGCTTCTCAATTTACATGTGCATAAGAAACAGTTGTGTGGGGAGCTCAGCGGACCCTCTTCCCAGCAAAACAACACTTAACCAAAGAAAATTACTAAAAACATACCACTTAATGTCTCTGGGACCAGGTGCAGTGGATCACATCTGTAATTCCAGGATGCTGGGAGGCCAAAACAGGAGGATCACTTGAGCCCAGGAATTTGAGACCAACCTAGGCAACGAAGTCAGACCAATGTTTACCAGAAAAATTTTAAAAATTAGCCAGCCGTGGTGGCATGCACCTGCAGTCCTACCTACTCAGGTGGCTGAGGTGGGAGGATTCCTCGAGCACCGGAGTTCCAGGGTGCAGCGAGCCGAGATTGTGCCAGTGCCCTCCAGCCTGGGTGACAGAGTGAGACTTTGTCTCTAAATAAATAAATAAATAAAATGTCTGGAAACTGTCCTAAGGGCATACAGCAAATGA